ATATTAAAATATTTACATTAAATTTATATTTACATATTTACATTTTCAATTATATTTCAATTTACATTGAAATTCTTATTGATATTTATATTTACAATTACATTTCTAATTATATTTTCATTCAAATTAAATTATATCAATATTATCTTAAATTATATAATATTTTATTATATTTACCTAACAAATATAATATAAAAAACATTGTGCCTATCCTTTTTTTTACAACCTTTCTGTGGAGTTTCGTTGGCAAATTCTTCCTTCAATTTCCTCTGAGCTATCTGTGTGACACCAGTCTTGATATTCCAATTTTCTTGTAATTCTCAATTTCGGGCAGAGTACCTCCGCAAAATCATATAATTAAATCCATAATGTGTTTTTCTTCTCTTCCAAAGGGGTTCGTTGCAATAGGGCAGAAAATCGCACCGGATCAAAATACGGAGCATTGTCTTCCCCGTGGAAGATACTACCACTTAAGCCTTAAGCAAAGCATTTCCTATGACTTGAAGCCCACAAAGGTACCTAAACGGATTGGAGACGAATGGCTTGCTCAAGTGGTTGCTGATGCCTGCCCGAACCACGAAAAAGATCGGAACTTCTACCATCCCTCCAAGCGACGCGATTTCTTGGGCCGGAACAAAAAAAGATAGGGACAGAAGAAAACGTTCATATGACTAAATTGACTAGATACCATGTCGATGTCCTGTCATTTGACATATTCGCCGCTTCACCGCGTCCCTTGTCAGTGGAAACTCGAAAAGTAGCTGTGAACCTTGTGTGAACTCCAGTGGATAAGAAACAGGCAAAAGCCAAGCCTTGTCAAAGTGAAGTGAATGCACAATTGAACATGCCACTTCGCCTCATGTTCACAAAGGGAATCACAGCTTCAAAGTTTGAAGAACCATTTCCAAACTTTGGACCCTCTCATCCTCCCGCATGCAAAAATTCACAGCTCTTGAGTCTGTGTAGCTAGAACTGAAAGCATGACATGCTTCGAAACCCTCGACGTGGTTGGGGTTCAAAAGCATGAAATAAGGCCGGAAAAGGATACGATGCAGGAGGGGTCTTTCAAATCGTCCAAAGATTCACCTCTCAGATTTCCGGCCGCTGTGCCAGATCCCTTGGGGCTTTGCGGCTCAAATCATTTCCAACCCTGCAACTTGTTGAGCTGTCAAATGGGTGGTTTAATGCAAAAAATATGATACAAAATTGTGGACACACGGGCAGCCAATTTGACTCGCATCAATTTTGTGTGCGTGTTTGGTGAATTTATTGCGCTGTGCAGTCACAATGACAGAGCTGCCCCACAAAAGATTGTTACAAATATGGAAAAGTCCACTGATCATGATGGATTGCAGGGCTCGCTGCCATCACCCGAGGCGCCAGCAGCAAATTCGGCGCTTGGTGCACTTAGCAGGTCAGGTTGTACCTGAGCATTCATCAGCTGCAAAAGATCCAGGACTCTTCCCGTCAATTTTTGGTTCATCCTGTTCAGATCCGTTCATGATCAAACCAACAATATCCAAACGCAAACTGAGGCTGTGCTTTCTTTTTTCTGCAAATGGCTGCCCATCCAATCTCTTCAGGAAGAAAGCTTTGTCCTGGCTGCTGCAAATTCTCAGGTTGCCTGGTTGCTTGCAAGCTGGGAAAAGCAGGAAAAGGAAAGCTCGCAGCAAGAAAAAATAAGGCATGTAGCAAGGAGAGTTGTGTGGGAAGGATCGGAACTTCAGTATATTTCTGACTTGACGGGCCAAAAATCTTGCCAGGATTTCCCAAAGCTACTGTGGAAGTAGTTGGCATAGCATGTGTGCCGTTGAACTTTCAAGTGGACAACTAGCTAGCTGTGTCCTCCATCATTGGCCATCGCGGGACCTCAAAGGTCTCCAGGACCGTCCATCCTGCCTGGCAGAATTGTTGGAGAATTGGAAAAGGTTGACAAGGATGAAGTGGGCGTGGCACTTGGTGACATCAACCTTCATTTTGCGTGGCAAGCGTGGCACTTGGCGACATCAACCTTCGTTTTGCGGGGCAGGCGTGGCACTTGGCGACATCAACCTTCGTTTTGCGGGGCAGGCGCGGCATGTGGTGACATCGACGCGAACACACAAACTTCCACACAGACCTCTTTCACACACACCTTTCACACACAACCTTGAAAACACATCTCTTGTACACACAGTCCTTTCACACACAACCTTGTACACACCCAGTCTCTTGCAGACAACTCTTTCAGGCACAACTCTTTCACACACAAACTTGAACACACTTGAACATTCAGCAGAATATCCTGCTCTCAATTTGTTTTCTAGTTAGAACTGTTGAAGTTCGGAGTTGCTCCATCCAAGGTGCACTTGGCAAACTACTTAGAAAGCCAAGGGCCAAGACTTCAAAAGTACAGTCACTCAATTCAGGTCTTGATTCACCGATCTGGTTCAGATTGTGGCAACCTGCAGCACCTCAAACCGGAACAGTCATGGTCGAACATCTTGAGCGGCATTCCAGCTGTATGTCTTCTCATACCCAGGAACTGCCTGCAGGTACGTTTACACCTCTCATCATTGGCCTCTTCGTTGGCCATCCACCAATGATGAGAAGGATGGCCCCCTGCGTTTTGAACTATATACTGCTAAAACTCTTTGGTACAGAGCTGACACGCACACAAACAGGGACAGCGCCCACGTTATCTTGACGGCCCTGCAACAATCGTAGTATGAGAAACCTTTGCTTTGATAAAGTGCAATTAGTTCCTCTATCTTGCCAGACACTTCTGTACGTGGAAAACTATAGCGTCTGATCAAGTGGGCCCTCCACTTGAGGCTCGGCAAACGGAGACGAAGACTGCCAGCTGAACATGCATCACGAATTTGCCATGGTTCAACTAGACGACGGATGGCCCGAGAGCGTAGAGGAGCAGGGTCTTCTGTTGTTAGTATTGAGACACGATATTACAAGACAATGTATTAAACATGTATGATAGGCAGACGAGACAAGTAGAATCAAGACACTAGTTTGCATCGTATCCTTCGTATTGTTTTTCACACACAGAAACTTTTACACACAGACGCTTTTGCACAGAAAGGTTTATACACAGAAGCGTTTACACACAGACGCTTTTACACACAGACGCTTTTACACACAGACGCTTTTACACACAGAAGCTTTCCCACAGACACGTTTACACACAGGGCCTTTTACACACAGACACTTTTACACACAGACACTTTTACACGCAGACGCTTTTACACACAGAAGCGTTTACACACAGACGCTTTTACACGCAGACGCTTTTACACACAGACGCTTTTACACACAGACGCTTTTACACACAGACACGTTTACACACAGACACGTTTACACACAGGGACGTTTACACACAGACACTTTTACACACAGACACTTTTACACGCAGACGCTTTTACACACAGACGCTTTTACACACAGACGCTTTTACACACAGAAGCTTTTACACACAGACGCTTTTACACACAGAAGCTTTTACACACAGACTTCTTACACACAGACCCTTTTACACACAGACGCTTTTACACACAGACGCTTTTACACACAGACGCTTTTACACACAGACGCTTTTACACACAGGCGCTTTTACACACAGAGGCTTTTACAAACAGACGCTTTTAAACACGGACAATTTTTCACACAGACACTTTGACACACAGACACTTTTACCCACAGAAGCTTTTACACACACACGCTTTTCTTTTACACACACACACACTTTCACAGAAAGAGGCTTTTACACACAAACGCTTACACAGAGACTTTTACACACAGAAGCTTTTACACACAGACTCCTTTACACGCAGATGCTTTTACACACAAACACTTTCAGACACAGAGGCTTTTACACACAGAAGCTTTTACACACAGACACTTTTACACACAGACGCTTTTACACACAGAAGCATTTACACACAGACGCTTTTACACACAGACGCTTTCACACACAAACGCTTTTACACACAGACGCTTTTACACACAGACGCTTTTGAACACAGACGCTTTTACACACAGACGCTTTTGCACAGAAGGGTTTACACACAGAAGCGTTTACACACACAGAGGCTTTTTTTACACACAGAAGCTTTTACACACAGACGCTTTTACACACAAACGCTTTTACACACAGACGCTTTTACACACAGAAGCTTTTACACACAGAAGCGTTTACACACAGACGCTTTTACACACAGAAGCGCTTACACAAAGACGCTTTTACACACAAACACTTTCACACACAGAGGCTTTTACACACACAGAAGCCTTTACACACACTCCTTTACACACAGGCGCTTTTACACTCAGAAGCTTTTACACATAGAAGGTTTTACACACAGACGCTTTTACACACAGACGTTTTTACACACAGACCCTTTCACACGCAGACACTTTTACACACAGACTCCTTTACACACAGACGCTTTTACATGCAGATGCTTTTACACCCACACACACACACTTTCACACACAGAGGCCTTTACACACAGACGCTTTTACCCACGGAGGCTTTTACACACAGAGGCTTTTACACACAGACGCTTTTACACACAGACGCTTTTACACACAGACACCTGTACCTACAGAAGCTTTTACACACACACACGCTTTTCTGTAACATACACACACACTTTCACACACAGACGCTTTTACACACAGACGCTTACACAGAGACTTTTACACACAGACGATTTTACACACAGACGCTTTTACACACAGACGCTTTGACACACAGAGGCTTTTACACACAGACGCTCTTACACACAGACGCTTTTACACACAGAAGCTTTTACACGACTCCTTTACACACAGACGCTTTTACACACAGAGGCTTTTACACACAGAGGCTTTTGCACACAGATGCTTTCACACACAAACACTTTCACACACAGAGGCTTTTACGCACAGTTTTGCACACAGAAGCTTTTACACGCAGACTCCTTTACACAGACGCTTTTACACACAGACGCTTTTACACACAGACGCTTTTACACACAGACGCTTTTACACACAAACACTTTCACACACAGACGCTTTTACACACAGAAGCTTTTACACAGAGACTCCTGTACACACAGACGCTTTTACATACAGACACTTTTACACACAGATGCTTTTACACACAGACGGTTTTACACACAGACGCTTTTACACACAGAAGCTTTTACACACCAACACTTTCAGACACAGAGACTTTTACACACAGAAGGTTTTACACACAGACACTAGACATTTCACACTTTACACACATAGGCTTTTACACACAGATGCCTTTACACACAGACACAGAAGCCTTTATAACAAACACTTTCACACACAGAGACCAGACCCGTGAAATCGCAATTTTACCATTTCGTGCGAAAGGGTTGCGATCGGACCCGTGAAATCGCAATTTTACCGCAGTTTTTGACGTCCAACGTCCATTTTGCGCGTAAGGGTTGCGATTGACACCTCAAAATCGTAATTAATTTTACGTCAGTTTTTGACGTCCAACGTCCATTTCGTGTGAAAGGGTTGCGTTGGACACCTCAAAATCGCAATTTTACCGCAATTTTTGACGTCCAACGTCCATTTCGTGCGAAAGGGTTGCGGCCGACTAACTAAAATCGCAATTTTACGTCAGTTTTTGATGTCCAACGTCCATTTCGTGCGAAAGAGTTGCGAGGGATACCTCAAAATCGCAATTTTACATAGGTTTTTGACGTCCAAGGTGCATTTCGTGCGAAAACGTTGCGGCGGACACCTCAAAATCGTAATTTTACCTAGTAGGCTTTGGACGTCCAACGTCCATTTCGTGCGAAAAGGTTGCGTTTCGTGGCGCTCCGGCGGCACCGCCCCCGCCTTAAGAGAGAGATAGAAAGAAGAGCGAGAGAAGATCCGCAGATGTGAAGGTGCGAGGAAATAGAGCAGCAGATGTGAGGGTGTGAAGATGCAGATCTGCAGATGTGAAGCTGTGAAGATGTAGATCAGCAGATGTGAAGGTGTGAAGATGTAGATCTGCAGATGTGAAGGTGCGAAGATGTAGATCGGCAGATGTGAAGGTGTGAAGATGTAGATCAGCAGATGTGGGGGTGTGAAGATGTAGATCTGCAGATGTGAGGGTGTGAAGCTGTAGATCAGCAGATGTGAAGGTGTAGATCAGCAGATGTGAGGACCACATCTAGATCAGCAGATGTGAGGGTGTGAAGATGTAGATCGGCAGATGTGAGGGTGTGAAGATGAAGCTCAGCAGATGTGAGGGTGTGAAGATGTAGATCAGCAGATGTGAGGGTGTGAAGATGTAGATCAGCAGATGTGAGGGTGTGAAGATGTAGATCAGCAAATGTGAAGGTGTGAAGATGTAGATCAGCAGATGTGAGGGTGTGAAGATGTAGATCAGCAGATGTGAGGGTGTGAAGATGTATTACAACGGCTGCTTTTTTACGAAGAACCCTTCGCATGCGCTCTGGGGAATTAATTTGTAAGAAATGATGCGACGAATGTGGTCAATGACAAAGCCAAGAAATTCTCCACTCTCAACTGGCCCAAGTTCCACAGGGGCTCCATAAAAAGTGTATCAGCCAGGAAGGAAATACACGGGCTCGAGGAATGACATGAATTAAATAAAATGAGACGATTGTCAACATACCGAAGGCCTAAACATGACAACTGTCAAGCAGCTAGGGCGTGTTGAAACGAAAAGGCCCATGTTCCCTCCACCATAGTAACAACTAAATTACCCGGACTGGGGGAGATATGGGCACCAATGCCCGCCCCTCGAAATTACTTGAAAATCAAATTCCCAACTGAGAAAATATGAGATCGAAGAGATGCAGCCACAATGTAAATTAAGCCACCTGGCACAATGGTACGATATGTACCCCGTTTACGAAACTGACCAACAA